GTGTGTGTGTGTGTACATGTGCACACACGGGTACACATGCATGGATTCCCTCCCTCTCCCAGCAATGCAGCCAGATCATGGTCTCATTCATTCTCTTCTTTACTGTGATGTCACTGTCACAGCCACGGGGAGGAGCACACAGCTTTCACCTCTCATGTTCTTGGGGGCTGGCACCCAGGGTTAAAAAACTAGCTATGTACAGAGACTATCCCAGGGAGGAAGCCACCGGGACTCTGGGGTTTGGGGCTCAGGCAGGACAGGGCAGGTATGTTGGGGAGGGTGGGCTGTGCATGTGCAGACATGCTGGGCCAGGGCACAGGAGGCAGTGCCACCGCAGCCAAGGTCACCAAGGGTCCGTGGCTGGGCGGGTGACCTCTGCAGTCTCTTGGGTTCCTCCCTGTTAGGGGTGAGCCTTGGGCAAGAGCTGTGCCCATCCCACCTTGATCTTAATGCCCAGAGTGCAGGGGGAAACTCTAAGACCAGGCCCCAAACCAGGGCCAAGAGTGCACCCGTTTCCCACTCATGCCTAGGTGCGGGGGCACCTGGACCCCTCCTGACACTGACAGCGGCTGGGGCACTGTGCCCTAATGGGAGACCATGGGGTAAGCAGGGCATCCACTTGGAAGACCAGGGCTATGCAGGCAGTGAGGGGGCACCCGGGATCCGGGACAGGGACTGCCATGGCACAGGGCATCTGGGGCACCCTATCGGGTGGAGCCATGACCCCTGGCCCTCAGGCATCACCTACGAAGACTGCACCCCAGGGAGACCAACTTGGTATCTCCATGGAGACAGATTGGCACTTAGGAACCACCACCAATCAATCACCCAGGGACTTCCACAGAGAGATAGGGCCTGGTCATCAAGAAGACACCCCCACTCTCACCTCTGGAGGGAGGGATGGGGGCCCCTGTGGTGGCCAGACCCAGAGGCAGTGGTCTGTCCTCTTGCTTGCGGGCGCAGGAGGCCCCTAGCTGACCCGATACGTGGACGTGTTCTTGGGCTCCGTGCTAGGCACACACCAGTCACCGGCCTCCTGGATGGTCTGGTAGTGGCGCCAGGCAGACTTGTTGTAGACTGGCAGGCGCTCAACCGAGTCCGTGGACAGGGCCTGGAGGGTGGCACAGCCAGCGACCCATGTCCCCATGACTGCACTCATCAAAGTTCACCATCCCTAGCACCGCCCACCCTACCCTGGTCAGAGCTGGCTCGGCCACCAGACGCTGGCTAGGACCCACAACAGGGTCTGTCCCTTCTGGGCCCTGCTCCTGCCCACTCAAGAAGCTGCCCCCTTCAGGGGCCAGAGACGGAGAGGACGAGGCCAGACCGCATGAACCTGGTCCAGGTCGCCATGCCGCCAGCTCTACAGGCTTCCCCTCGGGGCTGAACGCCAAGATCTCTGCACTCCCCTTCCCTGCCTGGCCTAACAGAACGTCCTGGAGGAACTCCCCACCATGCTGGCGCGCCTGGGGCTGTGTGTCCAGCAACTCTGGCTTTGTTCTGATTTTGAGCCTGGACCCAGGAAAGGGTGGTGGGAAGGACAGGTGGTCTAGTGGGGGCCAGTCTGCCAGTACCCCTTCTCTAGCAGGCCTCACCTTGAGATAGATGACAGCGTCAGTCCCAAAGCCTTCCATGGAGAAGAGCTGTAGGTCCCCCTGGAAGTACTTGGCATAGAGGCGGGAGATGGGCAGCCCGTAACCGAAGCCAGCCTGTGGAGAGTGAGAGGGGTGGGGGTGGGGCAGGGCTGGGGTCACTGCGGTGCGAGTGGAGCTGAGTGGGATGGTAGGGAGTGGGGAAGAAGGCTGGATGGGCGACAGCGGGGCCCACAGGCTCCTCTGAGTCTCAGCCTCCCAAGCTGGGTCCTGCCTCCTGCACAGGAGGGACAGGGAGACATTAGGGAGTTGGACACCAGACAAGAAAGGCGCTATGGGAAGACACGGGCACAGGGAGAGCAGAACAGAAGGAGCTGAGGAAAGGAGACAGGAGGGCAGACAGAGAGAGGCTGGGCAGGCAGGTGGGCAGGGGCAGGATGAGACAGAGGCAATGGCATCCGGTGGGGATGTGGCGTCTCACCAGCGGGGTGCCCCCAGTGCCGGGCTGGGGTGTGGGGGCCGTGGAGTACATGTAGCTGAAGAGGCGCTCAATCTTCCTCAAAGGAACACCCCCACCTCGGTCACTCATCTAGGGGACAGGGGACATGTCAGGGCCCCACCCAAACCCCTTGCCCGGCCCATTCTTTCTCTAGCCTGTGGTCAAAGGTCACATACTTTGATGGACAGATCTTCTTCACCCAAGGCCACCATGACCTTGATAGGGGGGAGAACAAGGCTAGACTCATGGCTTTCTACGGTGGCCCGCATGGCGTTCTGGGAAGGAATGAGGAGAGACACGTTGAGAGAAGGCCCAGCCCTAATGGTGGCCCCAGGGAAAGGCCAGCTCCAGCCACCCCTCAGCCCCCTCACCTTGAAGAGTTCAAAGAGCATATGGTAGAGGTGGGAGGGGACGTAGACCATGTGGATGGGTTGGGTAGTGTTGGCAGCTGCAGGGTCAAGACCAAGGTCAGGAAACGAGCTAGTGCCCACTGCCTTCCCCAGGGTCCCAGGTTCTCCTTCCTCCACTCTTGTTTTAGTGACAGGCACCCCCCACCACCCACTAAGGCCATAACTAGGGCACGGCTGCCCAGCTAGAGATGGAATCCACAGGCTCCCGAGCTGGGGCTGCGCGGCCAAGGTTGAACGCTTAGCTCTGGGCCCTCCTAGAGCCTGGAGGAGCGGGGCCTGCGGTGCCCACTCACACCAGCAGCCCACGGCAGGCTGCAGAGAAGCCGACCTTCATCAAGTCCCTCTGACCTGTCAGACTACACCTGACCTCACACACCACCCCTCCCACCCAGGGTCCCTTATCGCCTGTACTGCCTTCCTGTCGCTGGGACTTGGATGACCTTGTTTGTTTACTTATTCCAGATTAAAGACCCCATTCTCCAGCCTTCCCAGCCACGACTATGACCCTCAAAGAGGGCAGGACCTAGCCAGTCATTTATAATAAATATTTTACCCAATGTTTAATAAGCAGCTGCCCAATGAATTAAGGATGTGCTTTTATCTTTTCTTGAGGCAGGATCTCACGATATAGCCCAGGCTGGCCTTGAACTCACAGAGATCCTCATGCCTCAGCCTCCTGAGTGCTGGGATTATGAGTGTGCACCACCACGCTTGGCTGGCAGGATGAGTTAATAACCACTATAGCTCAGGTGCTCCCCAATCTAGAAAGCCGCCCACCCCGAGCCCCTCTTCCCTTGGTCCCCTGTGTCCCAACCCTCCCACAAGAGTCACACATGCCAAGCTTGCAGCTCACCGTTGACCTCCTGGATCTCCAGGTCAGGTGAGGCCATGTAATACTTGTCACACAGGAGCTTGGCCATGTCGTAGGCATCTGGGAGGAGATGGGGCACTCAGGGCATGGTGGGGGGCGCTCACCCAGCACGGACACTGGCCACGGTCCCCATCCCATGAGGCCGTGGCCCCACCGCGGGGGTGGGCCACGCTCTGGCCCAGGGCCTCTCTGGGCTCCTCTCAGGGAGGAGGAAAGGGGGATCACCTTTCACCACCTCCGACACGCTGCAGTTGGGGTCGATGCTGCCAATGTGTTTGGGGTGCGCCGGGTTGGTGCTGCCTTCAAAGATGAGGGCTACAGGAAGAAAGTGGGTGCTGCTGCTGGCTAAGCCTCAGCGGTCCTGCACCCCTTCTCTCACACTCACCCCCATCCTAAGCTCCCCACCTAAAGAGGCCTGGCCTCCAGTCCTGCGGGGTATCACTGGCTCAGGCTGCCTGGGGCCTCTGCAGGCCCGAATTTGCTACTTTTTAGGTTCATTTGGTCTGATAGTGGGGATTGAACCCAGGGCCTTTAGAGTAAGATACACCCTCAGACCTTTTTTATTCTTTGGTTCTGAGACAGGATCTCATTAACTCCAGGATGTGACCTTCAAATCTTTGGATCCTCCTGCCTCAGCCTCCTGGAGTGCTGGGGTTACAGGTGTACGCTATTTTAGCATTCTTACAAACTTCTACTATTCCAAACATTTGTCATTTCAAGTTTCTCTTTCCAGGAGGACTCTGTGATTGTCACCCACTCTTCACGATCCAAGACTCCAAAAGGAGACTGGTAGAGGTCACCACTCCCTCGTGGGAGCCCCAGCTGAGCCCCCTCCCCAGCCCCCTCCTGGCTCCCAGGCTCACTGTGCTGGTTGATAAGCATGCGGATGGAGATGCGGCTGAGGTAGAAGCGGTCCAGGAAGTACTGGATGTTCTGGTTGGAGACCGGGTCGTCACCATAGGCGTCCTTGTACTCCAGCACGCCCTGGGCCATGGTGGGTACCACGTCGTTGTGCCGGTTCCGGATAGTGACCAGGGCATCCGTGAACCTGCAGGGAGGGCACACACTCACTCTGCCCGGCTCCAGCCCTGACTCTCTTCCAATTCTTTTGTCTTCCCTACAGGCAGCAGAACCCAGGGCCAGCTCCCCTGAGCTCTATCCTCGGGGCCAGGACCTCGGCGGTCCGTGCCTTCCCACCCCCAGGACCTTACTCACTGATTCAGGGTGCGGTGGTCCTCAGGGTCCTTGTCCAGGAACTCCATGATGTCCAGCAGGCTCTGAACATACCTGGACGGGGGGGGTGGCAGGAGGAGACACAGCCTCAGTTGTGTGCTGGGTGACAACCCATCACCCTTGCCGGACTTTGCTCTGTTCTCCTGCTGTGGGCACCACGCAGAGCCCGGCCTAGTCACAGCTGTGCATGTGCTCCCAGGCCACATCCTCTGCACGGGGTCACCCTGGCAACCCGGCAAGCTCTGCAAGGAACCTACAGTGTGCTGGGCCCCTTGAGCAACTTTGCTCCAGAATACTCTAATCGAAGGCTCAGGAGTGGCCCGGAGCCCCGGAGACCGAGGCCTGGACTGGAGAGAGGGGTCTGGGCTGCCTCTGTACCCAGCATCCATTCATGCTGTTCCTCAGCTGGGAATGCCCTTCCCTCTCTTGGTAAGACAAGGAGAAGAGGGTGAAAGAGCTAGCTTGGAGTGGCTCTGCCAGGTGTCAGCCCTGGCCCTTTGGCCAAGCTGTGCGGCCCTGGGTCAGGCATAGAAGCTCTCTGGGCCTCACTTTCTCCACTAGGAACAGGAGGTCTTTTCAAGGCAGTCGCTAGCACGGTGTCCATATGCTGTGGATACTCTGGCTGCTTGCTGTTAGGTCGGTGGCTCAAGAACTGTCAGCGCTGAGCGAAACCCCTGAGCTCCAGGTGGGCCCCACCCTGACCTAGAGAAGAACTCCTGGGGCACAGCCTGGGCCTCCCCAGAGCACGAAGGACCTGCTCCCTGCAGTGGACCATGACTGGCTCAGGCAGGGCAGGGAGCCCGCCCAGCCATACAGAGAAGCATGAACCCAGGGCCACCTGACTCTCTCCCAGGGGACTGCTCAGCATCCACACTGGCCCAAGGGCGGCAGCCTGGGTTCTGTTCTGCACTCCCTGCCCCCACCAAGTGATGGGGACCGCACCATGCAGCTCCTAGAGGACAAACTGCATAGCACTGGGTTCTACCCCCACTCCCAGCAGGGCTGCAAATCCAGTGTCCCCTAAGCTCCTAGGGGTCCTAGGAGGAGGGGGGTGTGGGAGAGAAGGTGGAACATGTGGTATGGGGGCAGGTGAGGAGACCCAGGGCCAGCGGGGATGAAAGGCTTGGGACAGGGATGCTGGGTTGCTCCCTGTCTGTGCTGGTCAGTGGTGGGGGCAGGCTGGTCAGACTTCCGGAGCCCTGGTGGCAGGGCTGCCCAGTGAACCTTCAAGGGCAGAAGTGGGGCCACTGATATGAGCACAGAGCACTGGGATGGGCTGGCAGTGGGCAGTACCACCAGCGCAGGGATTTAGAAGGTGACAGCTGCAGGCCTCCATGTCCTGGACTGCAGGGTATGGAAGCCCTGCCGGGCCAGGCCCCAAAGGAGGGGATGGATGCACCCCTGGGACAGAGAGGAGAGCTTTTGGAGGATCGAGGATTGGCTCAGAGGTGTGGGACTCCGGATGCCACCTCTGGCCATGCCTAGGAGCCTACAGAGAAACTTCAGGCATGGAGCCACACTGGCTCCTCGATGCCATTGTGCCAGAGTCAGACAAGGAGCTGGCCCAGGCAGGGGAGGTAGCAGGGCCCAAGTGAAGGCTGGGAGGAAGATCTGAGGGGACACAGAGGCCCAGTCAGCCAAGCTCTGCTCACCAGCCCCAGCCTTGGACTTGGAAGGCAAGAGGAAGAATGCAGGATACAGGAAGGGAGGGGCACAGAGAGGGCGCAGAGGGTGTGGGCAGGGAGGGACGGGGTGCTGGAGGCCCGTGTGGAAGCAGAAGGGAGCTGGGCGTGGGCGCGCGCGTGAGTTTGTGAATATGCAGTGAGCCATCTGCAGGTGTGTGGAAGCTCCACTCCCCAACTACAACACAGGGCTCCCAGCAGGAAGCCTCTGGTGGGACACACAGGCCTTAGAGGAGAGGCGATAACACCAGGGCGCGTTCACTCCTGCTTTCCCTCCTGCACGACTGTTCCCAGCGCCCCAGACTCCAGGAGCTGGGGCCTGGCAGAGTGGGCCTGGGCTTTTCACCCGTTCTCCTGCCAGGCAAGGACTGGCTAGGGCCCTCAGGTGGGAGCGGGGCTCTCCAGGGGCAGAAGGGGTCCACACACCTTGTTGATAGGCAGGGAGGCTGGCCAGACGGAGCTACCCACAGCATCCCATCGAGTGACCCACTGAGCCTCCTCCAGTCCCCGGTGCTGGTGGCAAGGGTGACTCCCTGTCTCCTGGTGGCCACGGTGCACCCTGCCGTTCCTCAGGGCCCCTTCTCTGCGCCCCCACCAACACTGGCATTTCTGTAAGTGAAATGCTTGCAAGTGCCTCTGCCCCACAGCTTCGCCCTCTCCTGCCCCTTCCAGAATGCAGCCTCCAGGCCCAACAGCCTGGGTTCAAATCCCAGCTCTACTGCCTACCTCCTCAGTGACCCTTGGTGACATGCTTCACTCTCTAAGCCGCAGCTGCCCATTTGGAGAGCAGGGGTCATAGGTGAGGCCCACAACAGAAGGCGGTGGGGAGCACATCCAGAATAGCTCCCAGCACACAGTGTGCCCACAGGTCACTTACTATCCGCCCTGCCTCAGAAACTTCCGCATGATGACACCACCTTGGGCCTGGTGATGCTGCCGCCCAGAAGCCCAGGGACCTCGCTGGGTAGACGGAGCTCTGCCCACGTTGCGCATCTAGCAACGGCATCTGACCTAGCAGCCACAGGGGTCCCATTTCACAGGCGAGGAACCTGAGGCCCAGAGACATCCAAGTGTTTGCCCAGGACCAAATGTTTAGCAAGACACAAAGAGGCGTAGGCTGATGGGAGGCCGAGGGCTTTCTCCACCTGCCTGCCACCTCCGAATAATGGTCCTGCCACCCAAGTCTGTCCAGAGGCAATAGTATATCAGGTCTACTTGGGACCAGAAATCCTTTGCTGATGGTGACTCTGCCCAGAACCTGTCCCCAGCTGAGGAGGAGCTTCCTAGTGATTTGCTTAGCTGTCTGCACACAGACTAGTGGCCTCTGAATTGCCTCAGCTTCCCTTGCAGACTCTGCCCTCCTTCACCACCCACACATCCAGCTTTCTCAGAAAAAGTGCTTTGCATTACTATAAGCAACCACTCAGGCAGTCCCTCCTGCCTCTCACCACAGTCTCTCTTGCTGCAGCTGATGCCTGTGGCTCTGGAAACTCTAAGGAAGCCATGATTGCGTCAGCATGTGGACACCTAGCAGGCCCCTGGCTGCCTCCTCGAGATGAATGACCCACTGAGGAAGCGCTCCTGCTCATCTAAAGCTGCGCTTGCTCCTGCTGTGGCTCACATTCCTTCTAGGCTTCCACCCCTCACGTGTCACTGACTCTAGGGAAGGGGCTCTGGAGGCCTCCTGCGGGAGTCACCGGGCATCCAGGGACTCTGCCCTCCCTCTGCAACCTGCTGTCCCAGGGGCACTCACTGGGTCCAGAAAGGAGGCTGGGCAGCCTTGTCGTGGAGCCAGGAACCAGCTAGCGTGGCAGCTGGGACAGTGAGCTGCACACAGCCGGGAGAGCAGATGGCATCTTGTGCTCCCTCCCCCTGCTCCACCACCCGTGGTGGAGCCTGCCGTTGGCTCAGAGGCCCTGGGCACAGTGAGGGCTGACCCGGTCAGGCACCCCATGGCTGGCCCCACAGCACAGCCACTGTCCACAGAGCAAGTCCCCAGATGGCCTCACCAGGCCCTCCCCTCCGTTCAGGCCACCTCTGGTGTCCATTTCAACTTTTCTACAACTTCTGATTGGACCAGTATTCACTGTGCACCTGCTACACACCATGTGTGCAGCACCCTCCCTTACCGCAGCCAATTTCCTCACAGTAAGTCGGGGCATGCCCAGAGGGGTTCTGGGGTGTGTGTGGGGGGGGAACCAGTGAACCTCACAAAACCTCAGCAGGGCTCCAGGGGAGGGGAGTGATTGCTGCTTTCTTTTTCTTCTTCTACATGGGGATCGAAGCCAGGGTCTTTATGCTGAGCCACCTTCCCAGCCCTTTTTGTTTTTTATGGTGAGTTGCTAAGCTGCCCAGGCTGAGCTGGAACTTGGGTGCTCCTGCCTCAGCTTCCCAGGGTGCTGGGATGATGGGTATGCACCATTAGGACCCGCTGCATCTATGTTTCTGCATTTTCCAAGTGTCAAAATGAATATACTATGCATCTACAGTGAGCAGGTGTGTGTGTGTGTGTGTGTGTGTGTGTGTGTGTGTGTAAGCAACCCATGGTACTTTAGTCCTTTGACGTCATTTAAGTAAATCCACAGTCCAGCCTGCACTTTGCTCGGCCTATCTTGGCTGGAGCTTCCTTTCCCTGGTGATCATGGGTTCCTGAGGGCAGCTCTTGCTGTTGCCTTAGACACTGTGTGGTGCTGGGCTCAGAGGGGCCACATGCGCTCCTGAGTCTGTGAGGAAACCAGTCAGGCCCCACAGCACAGCCTGAGGGCAGGACTCGGCAAGGGCGCCACCAGAGCCGGCTGGCGATGATCCGCCAGCTGCAGCCAGGGACAGGGCGCTCCCTTGTTTACGCTCCATGTGACAGGCCCGGCCGACAGTGTCCATGGCTTAACCCCAGGCAGTGCTCTAAGCGGCCCTTCCCAAGGCTCCCTGCTCGCCAAATAGCTACCTGCAAGCTTTGGGGAGGGAGATGTCACCCCATCTACGTGAGAGTTCTCCAACATCCAAAACAGAAGTGTAGCTTGGATGGTATTGTTTGGTCTAAGATTCCCTTGTTTGCATTTCTGCTTTCCCAAAAGCTATCCTAAGGACACACTGCCTGACAGGCCCAGGGCTGGTGGCCACTGCTGATGTCAGCCTGCCTTGGGGTTTTGGCTCTGAAATCTGACTTCTTGGGTATGTCCCGGGTTCCTAGAGAAAGGAGGGTGGTAACACTAGGGCTGTCCCACAGACACAGGGACACAGGGCCCTGAGGACTTGGCCTTCACTCCTGTCATTGCCAGGATCCCTGTGTCCTGGGGCAACTCCCAGCTTCCTGGAGGCTCCCACCCTTGCTGGGGCCATGGAGACTCCACAGAAGCCCAGGCACAGGGCAGCTGAGTGGGTAGGGTCTCACCAGCTCTGTACCAGCTGCACTGAGGGCGTGCCGAGCACCCGGTCAGGGAGCAGGTTGATCTCCTTCATGATGTTGGCCAGGCGCACGGGCAGCTCCTGCCGGAGGAAGGTGAAGGAGGTCTTCTCGCAGGCATTGCTGGACCCTGGAGACAGGGTGAGGGGATGAGCCCACAGCTGGGAACCGAAGGCACCAGAGATATCTCGTTCCTTCCCTCCCGGCAGCACCTGCAGCTGGCAGCGGGGCGGGGGTATACTTGGGAATGCTACTTTCTTGGGGCTGAGTTCTGGCCTGGGGTAGGGGGTTATGTATGCCTAGATTCCTACAGCTCCAGGGACTCAATGGTGTCCTTGTACCAGGCCATCTTACCAGGCTGGCAAGATGATGGGTGCCCACTGTCATGCTGTCCCTAAACCAGGACTCACGTTGGGCAAATGGGGACCTCAGCCAGTGGTCCAAATGGAGAGGTAGAGAGCTGATGAAGTCACAGTGCAGAGGTGGCCCTGGGTTTGTCCAGGTGCTGCTTCCAACCCTGCCACTCAGGGCACGTCACCATTTTTTTGAAAGCCTGTTTCCCTCTTACTGTACAAGCAGACCAGACCCCTCACAGCTGTGACAGCTCTGTAACCAGGGTCCAGGATGGGGACTGGGGACTGGCCCAGATGTCCCTGCATGGGCAAAGTTCAAGATTCAAACAGGGGAGGGGGCAGAAGACACAGGTGTCATTTACAGTCCCAGCAGTAACCTAAGCCAGCCACAGTTAACTCAATGCCTGAGAGACTTGGGCCCCCTCCCAACTCCTAGGTGACACCATGGAAATGCCCAATTGACAGACAGACCCACACAAGTCTGAGCCACCTGGGCAGTGGGCAGTGGGGACCCAGGGATAGCCAAGGGAGGGTACAAGCGGCCTGACCACCTCATGGTGGCTTGGGTCCCCGCCCAGCGGGGCCCTGGCTGCCAGGCTGGAAGAGATTTGATCTTCAAGTGCCCTTGCCCACTAGAGAGCTGGAATGGGTGAAGGAACCCGAGTCAGGGGCGCTGGCTCCCGGCTTCCTCTGGAAGAGTCCCCTTCCCCAGCCGCCTGAGGCTTTCTCTCCCCCTCTGCCCAGCAGGGTCTGACTCTCAGGGCCAACCCAGGTCTCTCCCAGATGGCAGCACCTACCAGCGCCACCTTTTCCCTCCCACCAGTGGGCCCTGAGACCCCCCTCTATTGCTAGACCTGGGACTCTAGCAACCCCCCTATTTTTTCACTTTCCCCACTCTTACAGTCCCCAAGAAAACCCCCATTACTTTTTTATGCCTGGATGAGATCCAACTCCCTTCCTGTCCGGACATCTCAGCCTCGCTGCCCCTTACCCTCCAAGGCCCCGGGAGGATGTCTCTTGCCTCCCACCCAGCAGCCTGGGGGACCCCACCCCCACCCCCAACTCTTTCGGGCTTGGCCAGCCCCGCCTGCCCGTTAACCCCTTCCTGCCTGTTGTCTTGCTCTCGTGCCACTCAGGGCCTCTCCTAGGGTGGACCCCCTCCTTTCTAGGACCCCTTCTTCCGCGAACCCCCAACCCCTTCATACCAAAGTCCAGAAACTGTTTCATAGACAGGGGGGACGGGGAGAACTTGCTGAAGTGCTCGATGTACTTGGGCGCCCCTGCCAGGGACGCATTCTTCAGCAGCGCCCGGACCCAGCGCATGGCGTCGGCGCCCGCGGCTCGGCTGCTGTCCCCGGGCGGGTAGCGCTAGAGTCCCGCTCAGCCCACTCCAGCCCCGCGGCCCAAATCCGGCCGCCGCCTCCCGACCTGGCCCTGACAACCCCTCCGACGCCTAGCCAATCAGATCGCCGCGACGCCCCGACCGGGCCAATGGCGGCGCACAAACAACTCCAGCAGTACCAATAGCTGTGTACCCCGGCACGTGGCTTCTCTCCAGGCCCACCTCCTTAACCCTGTCATCGCCGGCGCCGGCCTGTTTTCGGAGGCAGAGTCTAAAGCCACTCAATCTTCCCCGGCCTTGGAGAAGCCGGACCCCGAGTTAACCCCTTCCTCCCCAGAGAAAGCAGGCCTTTCGCCTTCTGCAACACCCCGCTTTTCCCTTCCTCTTGTGTTCTTTTCTTGCTGGCTCTTTGTAACCTTTCTTCCCAGACCTGACCGGGTTGCTTTCATCGAATCCCCTTCTCCTTCCAAAGGTCCCCGGTCCACCTGTCCTGACTCCTCCCTCTGTCCCATGGGGTGTTGTGGCTTCCGAGTCCTAATGACTGACCCAGACTAAATATTTGCCAAATTCGGAACCAGAACGCAAGCCTGTGCCGAACTGTTTTATGCACGTACAACCCGTTCGCTTCCATAAAGGTCCAAGTGGCTCGGGAAAAAGTGGCGTTGTGCTTTTTTCGAGTGAAAAACAAAAGAGTCAAACCCCTCGCGACTAGCAGAGGAGGAGGCAGCTGCTACAGTCAGTGCTAATTTTGGAAGCACTTTCATTTTTGTTACTATCTAGTTCATTTGGTTAAACATAATCAATTGGCATCTTGGGCGACGGCCTGAAAAGCGACCTTCTCCGCCTCAGGCATCGACAGAGCAAGGGAGTTTGGGGGTCGGCGAGTCGCCTCCCCCAGCAGCTCCTCCCCTTCTTGGGCGGTGTCGTGCACCCTCTTGCGGTAGTACGTGGTATATCCCATCGTAGGCCTGGAGCCCTTCTCACTGCTTTGACCCACTCTCTGCAAGTCCCTAGTGTGCGCCAGCTTTTGCTCTGAGACGAGACAGACGAGAGTAGGACACAGTCTCTCCCTCAGTCATTTCATTTCTCAACTTGAGAGATGGCTGCGCCAGTAAATAAGTTACAACAGAATGCGACTGTAGCCAACACAGCCAGGCTTGAGATTTGCAGGACTACCACAGCAGGAATAATCGTTCCGGTGCCAGGCGCTGTGTGCGTGCCTTATCTCATTTAATTCGTAAGACAGTTCCGTTGTACTGTTATTAACCCCGCTTCAGAGATAGGACAACCGAGACTTGCCGGCCGTTCTCAGCTGCAGGTCTGACCCACTGCTTCCCCGCACTCCTCGCTGGCGCTTTCCCAGGTGTCCCTGAGGTGCTTCAGCCTCACTCTCCAGCCTGTGCCCGGCCTCCAGCCCCACCCGCCGGCTGCTCCAAGCCATTGCAAATGCCATTTTTTTCAGTCGGGATCGGTTCTTTCCGGAGAATGTCACCTATCCATTATTTCTCAGCCTTTTGGTCACAATCAAGTGTCAGATCTGAATGCCACCTCCCCACTCCTCAGGTCTCAGCCATTTAGTCAGCCTTAGGGCCCTGATGTTAGCAAGGGGTGAACGCTGACCGCGCTTGCCGGCTGACTGATTGGGCTCTTCACCGGCCACCACGTTTCAGAAAGCACAGCCTGTGTCTTAGTCACTGCTCTCTCTCCAGCACCAGGACAGTGCCTGGCACGTAGTAGGGAGGACAGGATGAAACAAGGATTGGGGTTGCCAGGAAGACCTGCCCTAGGATATCGAGAAGACCCCAAACTTTGATGGGCTAGCAACTAAGTGAGCTGGTGACCTCAATTTGCAAATGCCAGGTGCAATCCATTATATACAAAGGTGTGCACCCTTTGCCGTGCATAGCTCTAAATAGCTGCTACTATTGTCAACATTAAAGTAATAAGGAGGGCTGGTGAGATGGCTCAGTGGTCTAAGGCACCTACTTAGAACAAGCTTAGCAAAGTGCAGGGACCGCGGTTCAATCCCCCAGCACCATATGCCAGCCAGCCCCGCCCCCTGGTGGGCTGAGCTGGCCACACACACACACACACACACACACACACACACACACTCTAAATAAATAACTAAACTTAAAAAAAAAGTAATAAGGAAAAGGCCATGACTCTGAGGTTGGGTATCGGAACGCAACAGATTGCCTATGATCTTCACCTGAGAGCTGTCTGCCATCTAGTGGGCTCTCGGCTTGGATAAAAATCAATTTTTTGCAGATTTTGCGACCTGGCGCATGGGGGTGGGGAGGGACGCAGTCCCTGCAGGTTAATTGATCCAACAAAAACTCAATCCCCAGCTGTCCTACTCCGTGCGCAATGTGGGGTGGGGGTGGGGTCTCTCGGAGACTCAGAGCTTTTCTCAGTACAAGCTACCAGAGAATCGGAGTCAGGGGAAGGAAAACCGTGAGAGGGCCCCAGCAGCAAATAAATGCTTCTGCCCCAAAATGAGCCACTCCCCACTCGATCTCATTGGCCAGGATTAGTCACATGACCTCACCCAACAAGGAGGACCCGGAAGTGCTAATGGTCACAGTTCCCAGAAAGGGAACAATTACCTTGAGAGGGGTGTGAAAGTGCTGCCGCTTCTAGGAGCTCAGGAAGTGCGGCATAGCAGCATCCTGTTGTGGGCACTGTAGCGCTCTGCCACCTGAATTTCTTTCATGTCAGACTGGCGTTAATCCTGCCAACGACTCACTTGCAGGTTTGCTTGCGTGTGCGTTCGCAACCAACAGCGGCACGCGTAAACCTGCTTTGCCTTAAGCAGGAAAGGGCTGTTAAGGACAGGATTGGCTGGGCTTTCACAAGCCGCGGGAGCTGTTATTGCCGGAACAAGTGAATTCCAGATTCTAAAAACAAGGAAAGTCCCTGGTCACAGGGTTCTGGGGGGAAGCTCTAGGTAGGGGCTGGGATTTTCCTAAGGGGATTGGGCATCCTGCTGTCAGTCGTTCCAGGAACAGGCAAATTCCAGTTCAGAGTGAGGGGACCAGGATACTGGGTCCAGGATGCCGTCATGCCGGGCCCTGCTGGAGGGAGTGGAGGGCAGCCAGCCACCCACCAGGGCTGCGGTTGGTAGCTCCCAGGAAGACACGCGGATCTCCCAGGAAGCACGGCCTATGGAAGGGGCTGAATCTGAGCTCTGGCTGTTTTGCTGGGCAGTAACGTCAACCATCAGTGAAGTCTGACTAGAGGCCACGGGCTTGGGGACAATTCCTTTCTCCCTCCCTAGTGCTGGAGCTTGAACCCAGGGCGTCTGTGCTGGGCAAGTGCCGCCACTGAGCTACGCCCCCAGCCCAGCCTTGGGGAAAATTAACGGGCCTGTATCACAATTTAGGACAACCAAATCAGGGTGTGGGGAGCCTTGCTCCACTCCCAGGGCCTGTGTGGAGGAGACAGGTCATGGCACAGAAGAAGGTGCTCATCAGGAACCCCCAGAAATAGAGGATGCAAAGTGGGGTGCTTATTCCAAAGAATACAGTTACCTACACTAGGTACTTGCACACTTCTGGGGGGAGTTTCCAGGTACCAGAGGTGGTGATGGGGAACAGCAAGTTCTCACCTGAACTCAGCCCTTGGCTGAGGGCTCTGTCCCTGTCCTTGTACCCAGCCACCCTCCACACTGGCCAGGACCACCTGGGGTCACAGTGGATTGCACCTATGAGGATTCATCTTTTTTTTTTTTGAGGATTCATCTTAACTTTAAGATAGTACCTATGTGCCTGTGGCCTGGGGCAGGGCTGGTGTCATCCCCAAGCCTCAGAGACCCCAGCACCAGGCTTTGTTTGGTCAGAGCCCCACTGGGTGACGACATTGTCACGCATTCAGCTGAAATGGGCTGCCAAGGGCTGGGGCTCGCCAGGCAAAGGCAGGTGTACAAACTGGGAACTGTTTATTGGTTGCTGTGAGAAGCCTGTATACAAAGAAGGCACGGGGGTAGGGGCTGGGAGCCCCCTGCTACAGTACCGTGGGGGGAAGGGCAGCCAGAGGAGGTACTGGGGACCAGCCTCAACTGCTATGGGCCTCAGATGCTGCCTATGGGGGAGGGGCAGTCAGGGTGACTCTGAAAGCCAATGACAGCCAAGAACATCATCTCTAGGCCCCATTCCATGGTCGTGGGGACAGAGTGGGGCCTGGCCAGCTGGGCTGGGGACAGGAATCTGTTCCTGTCCTACATTCAAGTGTCACTCCCTCTGACATCTTGTGGGGTCTCTCCAGGCACTTCTGAGGCTGGGGTGGAAGGGGTGGGTAGGAACTGGTATTTCTTCATCCTGCAGTGCCTGTGTGGCCCAGGGCTGGTCCCCTACCCTGCAGAGGCTCCAATGTGCCCGAGGGCAGTCCAGAGCAGCCCAACTCCGCCGTCGTATGGTCTCTCTGTCCCTTTGGGCTGTGTTCCCTGATAGTTTGGTCCATGGCCCAGGAGAAAAGCGTCACAGAGTCATGAAGAAAGCTTTTCTGTGACCTGCTTCCCAGCTTATCTGCTGTCTCTGTGAGCAGGCAGGTCCAGTGAATGTCCCCTGGGCAGTTGTTGGCCTGACCCCAGCTGCACCTCGGATCCGGGGAGCCGTGCTCCCTGTCAGTAGTCTACTCTTGGCAGCAAAGTTGGTCCAGTGGTTATGGCTCAGGGTGGACCCAGTGTGAAAGGGCGCGAGTCACCACACGGGGCCTTTCCTCCTGCTTTGGCAGAGGCCCTTGGTTTGGCACGGGCAGAGGCTGGCACCATCCACAGCGCACAAGCAGAAGCCAGGAGTAGTGAGGCCCCCAGGCATCCAGACTTGGGAGACGGTGGGTTCACTCTCGGCAAGTCCTGCAGGGAGATGGCCAGCAGCAGTGCCCCTGTGGGCTGTCAGAGGCATAACTTAAGGATAAATAGGAAGAAGGGGGCTGGGGAGACAGCTTGGGATCACGGGGACGTCAGTAGTATCGGTCTCGGGTCTGCCAGCTGGTGACCCAGTGCTTCTTGGTGGGCGCTGTGCGCCCTGGAGGTGGGTAGCGCTCTTCCTCTGGGATGCGCACCGCGTGGTACTTGGGCATGATCCGGTAGTAGTGGGTCCGCCTAAAGAAGTCACACTGAGGGTGGGGAGAAGAGAAGGCACATCAGCCTCCAGGCTCCAGCAGGGCGAGAGTGCGACCTTGACCCACCAGCTTCCCCCCATCTCTGCACCCAGACAGATTCAGGGACTTGCTTCCCTCCAGGGGCCAGGAGAAGCAGAGGAGAGCAGAGAGGAGGAGGGAGGTAGATGGAGATGAGAGGCAGCTGCAGAGACCTGTCAGTGGGGGAGGGGGAGGGGCAGGCAGTGACCCTGGCTGGCTTGGGGGAGGGAGAGCTGGCTCCTGGGCATGGGGCTCAGGAGGGGCAGGTCACAGGTCCGAGGTCATTCTGGACATGCCTGGGGCTGCAGAGATGGACCCTGGCCCTGGCTATGACTTTTTTCCAGTCCTCAGGAAGGAAAGTGATCATGGGGGGGTGGACCTTAGGGCACATCTTGGGGTTCCAAGTCCATCACAGTGGACAGAGGGGAAGTCAGGTAGAGGGGCCTGCCCTCCTTGATGGTGGTGGGGACCAGTGAGGGCACAGCTGGCCCTTAAAGGAAGAGGAGCAGACAGGACAGAGTGAGAGGCCCCGGCCAGGTGGCCTGGGACCTAGGGGAGCAGGGCCCACAGGCCATGTTACCCTGGTGGGCCGGGGCAGAGACTGCCCCTTCAGTAGTCGTCGGTCAGCCTCTCTGTCTCTGACGGCTGGCTCTTCATCTCCGCCTTCTGCCTCTTGGCTTCATACAGGGCGCGAGTGCGGGCTCGTTTGAAGAAGCCGCACTGGAGGGAGGAGGTGGGAGGTGCCATCAGGGGCCCTGGGGTGCCACAGCCAGCAGTACTCGAGGGTAAAGTTTAGGACTGGGAGCCTGGAGGCTTGCAACCCAGCCTCAGTCTGGGGGTGTGGCCAGATGCCAAATCTCCTGGGTTCCCCCAATCAAGCTTGCAGCTCACCCCATTAACCTGGGCAGGGGAGAACTGGAAGCTGGATGGGGGGCTGTGATGGAAATGAGGACGGGATGGGGAGCCACAAGGATAGGGAGGGTCGGTGAGCAGGGGCTGGTGGAGGGGATGTTCCCCAAAGGCGGGCAGGAGTGCTAACCTTCCACAGCACGAGGATGATCAGCCCCAGCAGCAGCAGTCCCGCCCCCACGGACACCAGCACCAGCCACAGTTCGATCTCGGCTGGCAGCTCCTCCACCAGCTCTGAGTCGATGTCCACAGAGAACTGGGGGACAGAGAAGCCACGTGGAGTCCTGTGTCAGACCCCGTGGCCCGGCAGCCCTCATAGGGACCATTCTCTTCCTGGCTGGCCCGAGGCCCTGCTGTTTGACCTCCTGCCAGTAGGGGGAAGCCACGGACTGGGAAAAAAAAAAAAAAATCCCCTGCGGGGCGGCCAGACACCAGCAGGTGCAGGAGTCCTGCTCTCCCTGCACAGACCCGGCTCCCTGGACAAGCCTCAGACCCGAGCTGCCTACAAGGCCTGGCCTAGATCCTGGGTCCATCCTGAGGGGCTGTGTGCTGCGATCTTGGATATCCATGAATCCCTGAATCTTACATCCCTGGATCTTCATCCAAATGCCTGCCTCACACGGAGCAGAGTGGCCAAGGTACAGGCTCAGGAGCCACATTACCTGGGTTCCAGTCTAGCTGTGCCCCTCACCAGCTGTGTGACCCTGGGCAACGTACTTCACCACTCTGTGGTTCAGCTCTATAAAACGTTTGATACAAAGAAAATTAAAGGGCCGGTGAGATAGCTCAGCAGACTAAGCACCTGCTTAGGCAAATGCAGGGCCCGGGGTTCCATCCCCAGCACCAGGTGCGGCACTGGCCCCACCCCCAAGCGCACTGAGCAGGCCACCCAGACCCGGGAGGCTGAAAACAGGAGGATCACTACAAGTCCAAGCTGCATAGTGAGACCTTGTACCAAATACATTTTTAAAATAAAAATTAAATATATTTAAAAAACAGGGACCTGAGTTCAATCCCCGGTTCTGAAAAAAAAAAAAAATTAAAAAAGAAAATAAAAGGCTTCCAGGAATTTACTCTCCAGAAGCAAGGCACTCCAGAAACTCACTTTTTAATGTGTACCATCCCTACTGACGGGCTCAGCCTAGGCCCGCTCATACAAACTGTTTCTTTCCTCCCCAGTGGGATCGTCTTCCCCATCCATGGACAGAGGCCAAGCCAACCTCTCCCGGGGCCACAGTCACCGCAGGAAACGGGTCACAGCGCACTAAGCCAGCCTCTCACTGAAAGACGGCACGAACAGCTCTAGCTCTGCCTTTCCCAGCAATGCTCTAGAATGTCAAGTGTATGCTTGCCTCCCTGCCTCACTAGCTCCTGAGGACGGGCTATCCAGGGCCTGAGCAAAGGAAGGGGCACTTCTAAGCTTGAATGGAGATTGACAAATTCATCTCCAAAAGGAACCCACTGACTGAGGCCCCAGTCAGTACCATCTCGCCCCACCTATCAACATCACACAGCATCACTGTTTTCATATCCTCCACTGTTTATGTTGTGGTTTTTTCCTAAGTTAAACATCTGCACTTCACAGGGTGTGGCACTGGATGCGTTTGAGGCTGAGACAGAAGGGACTAAGTACAAGGTCAGCCTGTGCTACTGAGACCCTGTCCAAAAAGCCCAAAGCTTTATTATTATTATTATTATTATTATTATTTTTTTTTTT